ACTCATTAGTCTCTCAGCATGCCAAGTCCAAACTGCAACTTGTGCCTACAGTTAAAAAGTTGATGACGCAATTGTCTCCCACAAAAAATCAAGGTTTGAGGCAATGATTCTGGAATATATCAGAAATTTTCGAATCATATTGACCATGTTTACTTTATGTACAATATAATCTTATCAAATTCACCCATGCAAGACCATTTAGAGGACAAAAAACAAGATGGTAACTAGATCACGACAAAACTGAACATAGAATCAGCAAGTAGAAATGTCCAAAAATAATTCTCATGCTTCTAACATGCAAAACACAATCTTTGACTATCAAAACATAAGTTTGAATACGAAAGAAGCTTGAAGGATCCCCATCCAGCGCTTAATAGAAGGTGTTAGATTTTAATGTAATTGGCAATTCTGTGAATAGAATGATTGAAATTAATATTGTTGTAAAAGAGTTTTTAAAAGTCAAAGGGTCAAGTTGTAAGTTAGAAGTCCTAGGGTTTGAGCATAGAACAAATGAGTAAATGTTGCTGCAATTTCGCTTGCTTATCGCCATCTGTTGCTCGAGCTGTAAAAACAAAAGCTGCGTCGCCCGCCTGTCTCCTGGACTTCACTCGAGCGAGACATCGTCGCTCGCTTGTCACTGAGCACTTGCTCGAGCAACGATATTATCCGAAAAATCTAGTTTGCGTTTTAAAGGCTTTTTACACAGCCTATTCTACCTAATTGCCTTCGACTATAAATACCCCACGCCTTGCAAGAAATTTGGGAGGTTGTTCATTGTGCCTCTTTTTAATAACATATTCATATTATTCTTTGAAAATTTAAGAGCAAGTTCATGTATTGATTCAATCCATTTACTCTTGAAATTATACAATCGCAGATCGGGGAAAAAACATCAAATCCATTGAATTCAAAATACATACTTCCTAAACACCTTTAGGAAGGTACTTTCTCAGTTGAACTTCAAAGGCTGATAGAGGTTGATAGAGTTTGGACTACAAGTACAAGAAAAGCACAAGAACGGGGCATTATTGGAATTTCACTTGGAAGAGACAATTGTAGAAGATCGGGAGCTGGTGGGTTCAACTAATCTTGGAGGTTAGAGGAATTAGATCGGGAAGTCTTGTGGAGTTCGTTAAGCAGCATCGTACTGTAAATCCGTATTGTCTATAGTGAAAGTGACTGCCTTAGTCTCAAGGTTTTTACCCAGTTGGGTTCGTCGAATAGAGATTTTCTTTGAAATAGATACTACAAAAATAAATTGGCTTCGGGAATGAATTTTTCGTCACTGACTCACGATATCCCCTGCTAATAGGCATCACAGACGACAAATGATCAATTGCAAATTCGTTGTTGGGAAAAAAAATTACCTACAAAATTTGCTTAGGTAGAAGTCTTATCATTATGAACAAAAAATCCATAGTTCAACAGTCTTATTACTTTTACCAGTGGATAATCCATTTCTGATTACCAACATATGCAATCCCTTGATAATTATTCGTCGGTGAGAAGCTCTTTTTTAAGTGGTGAGATCATGTCTACCCTAATTATTAGAGATAATAAATAGCGTTACTCTTTAAAGAAACACACTAATTCGAAATTAAGAAAAGTCCATATATTGACGACAATTGTTGGAAATTGGGGCCTCCAATCGACCAAACCG